GACAGCACAGTGGGTAGGGTTCTTGCCCTGCACACAGCTGATCTGGATTCTATCCTCAGCACCACATATGATCCCCCAGTCCCCACCAGGAGTAATCTCTGAGTGCAGAGCCAGGACTAAGTCCTGAGTACTGTCAGCTGTGGTCCCAAAACACCCAATAATTCACAACAATTTGAGGAGGGAGACACCCATGTCAGGGATCTAACCCAGGATCTCGCACATGCAAGACAAGTGCTCTATAGCTGAGCTACATCTAGGAAGCCCTGAGCTAGGATTGAAAAAAAAAATCCTTCTACATAATTAGGAGCAACTCAATTGCTGAAGTGAATCCTCAAAATTTCACTACTTTATTATTCTCCTAAGTGTGGAAAACTTATAGCGAGAGATTAAAATAGAAGAAAATACTCTTAAAATATTCTTGTATTTTGACTTTCACAGATAGGGATCAAAGCAACAGAACAGCAGGCAAGGCACTTGTATTGCAGGCAGAGGACCCAGGTTCAATCCCCAGCACTCATATGGACCCTTAAACCCACCAGGAATAAGCCCTGAGCCAGATATGACCCCAAAATCAAAAACAAACATAACTGATGTGAGGTTACACTTGACCTTGTTCTATTATTTTAATCAGTGCCACTATCATTTTGAAAATTATTGCAGCCTTGAAGAGATCAAAAGCCACCACGTCAGCTCTTCTATCAGCCTTGCTTTAGAGAACCATAAATAAGTCTCAAAAGAGATCAAAAGCTGTAGTTAATCTTGGACCCACTCAAAGCTGAATAAACCTGGTAAATTGGAGGGGAGCACGTTTGCATGGTGCGGGCCCAAGCAGAGACCCCTGAAGCAACTTGCTTCCATAATCCAAAAGCACTGCCATGCCCTCCACCAGACTCTTCTGTCTCAGGGCAGACCTCACTGAGATATAATCTGCTGAAAACTTGAGTATGCATGGTATTTGACTGAAATCTCCAGGCTTTCTTGGAGTCGGAATGGGCAACCTTCCCCACCACACACCTCTGGAAGCCTCGGAAGTCACATCCCCACCCCAAAGCTGCCACCCAGTTAAAAAGCTACTCCAGCTTTACCTTTCCAATAAAAATAACGAACACTTTGAACAAATACTTTCAGTACTTGAACTGAAAGCCATAATGCAAAAAAAGGAAAAGGACAGAGAAAGAAGAAAAGTGCCTGCCAAAGAGGCAGGCTCAGGTGGGAGAGTGGGGTGTTGGGGGATGATGGGAGGGAAATGGGGTGGTGGTGGGAAATGTACACTGGTGGAGGGATGGGTGTTGGACCATTGTATGACTGAATCCCAATCATGAATGGCTTTGTAATGGTCTATCTCACGAATATTCAATAAATTTTTAAAAATTTTTGTATATCATACAAGGTTATCTCTGACCAATTCTCAGTATTACAAATTATAGTTGAAATCATTATTATTTATACATAAATGAGAAAATTTTAGTTAATAAACTTGCTAAAGACTTTCTACTGTAGAACTTGCAGCTCTCAACTCAATGCCAATTTGCATAATCAATAGAACATGGTAGAACTGATTTAAGTGTTGACAGAAACCAGCAACAAAGAAAAAACACCTTTTTTTTTTTTTTTTTTGCTTTTTGGGTCATACCCGGCGATACTCAGGGGTTACTCCTGGCTCTGCACTCAGGAATTACGCCTGGCGTTGCTCAGAGGACCATATGGGATGCTGGAAATCGAACCCGGGTCGGCTGCATGCAAGGCAAACACCCTACCCGCTGTGCTATTGCTCCAGCCCCGAAAACATCTTTTTTAAAGTTTAGAATTACCTCTATCTACATAATTCTGATCTTCAATAACAGGTCTATTTTTTAAGCTTAAAAAATTTTAAATGTATTTAACTATGTAATAGTTTTTCATATATTTACAGGCCAATAAAAGTACTTTAACATTAACTTGCATTTTATAAAATACCTCAAATGTTGCTCTTACACGGTAAAGCAAAGTGGCAATTTAACCAGTGAAACGTCGGAAGCAAAATCTAGCTCATTAAACTCATTATTGAAAACTTCAAGCTTCAACACTTTTGAGGACTAGTTTGAAACATATATCACTGGAGTTAAATAACTGAGGGGATGGAGCAATAGTACAATGGGTAGGGCGTTTGCCTTGCATGGCTGACCTGGGTTCAATTCCCAGTGTCCCATATGGTCCCCAAGCACCACCAGGAGTAATTCCTGAGTGCAGAGTAGGGAGTAATCCTTGAGCAACCTGAGTAACCCCTGGGTGTGACCCAAAAAGGAAAAGAAAAAAAAAAAACAAAGAACTGAGAGGGTGGGCAGGAGGAAAACTGGGGACATAGGGAGTGGGAGATGTGTGCTGGCGAAGGGGTGGGTATTGGAACACTGTACAACTCAAACTCAATCATAAACAATCTGGATCCCTCCAGCACCACTGGATATAAAGCAGAGAGCCAGTGTAAGCCCTGAGTCTACATGGGCAACCATGGCTGTGGGCCAGAATAAAAAATAAAAAGTGCATTACAAATTTCCCTTGGATATAACCTATGTTCCTAAATAATCAACTGAAAAATATTTAAACATCTTACCCATCATGATTTATTTAGTTTTACAGTCTATAAAAACAAAACAAAACAGAACACTTTAAACAAGGGCTGAGGCAATAACATAGTGGGTCGGGCTGCTTGCCTTGCTCTGGGTAGACCTGAGTTCAGTCCCTGGCATCCAATATGGTCCTCTGAGCACCACCCATTTTGGCCCACCCCTCATCCCATCCCCTTTCCCAGGGCAAAATAAATAAATAAAATAACAAGCTTTCTCTCTCTTCCTCTTTTCTTTCTCTAATTTGTTCTTAGGCCACACAAGAAGGGTGCTCAGGGCTTACTCCTGACTGCTCTGAGATCACTCTGGGGAACATGGGGTGACGGGATCAAACCCAGGGCGAGTCATGGAAGGCAAGCGGCTTACCCATTGTACTATCTCCAGTCTCAAGGATTTCTTTTTCAAAAACTATTCAAAAGAAAAACCAAACAAAACTATTCAGGGCAAAATTCTTTACACTGAACTACAAGGCTAAAACGTAGATTCCTGTCCATAGCAATACTAAAAGAAAAAAATGCAAAAAAATTATAATAGATCAATACGCTGCTTTTAAGTTAATAAAGCATTCTAATTATATTTTTAAAAGACTCACTAGAATTTTCTGATTTATACATTAAATTTAATTTAGCATATTCCAAAGTTGAGCTACTTAGCATACCACTTGCTACAGCTGCACTTTTATTCCATTATGTCAATCAGAAATCTAAATATATCCTAGAAAAGAATAAACCCTACCCAAGAAGACAGATTGTAATGTGTTATTAAATTTTTGGAATGATCCCCACTTGTATGATGTAAACAAATGTTTAGGCAGATCTTTCTGAAATCTTTTGCAATTTTCATTAGAAAAGCAATGTTGCTAAAAGATTCTTTTTCTTCTTTATGAGTTGTAAAAGGAAATTATAGCTATCTGTGTTGGATAATCTTGTGAGAGACTTACGACAACAATAACACACACTATGTAAAAATAAAAACACAAGAGGAAAAATAGCTTGGCTTTCACTTTACTTGCCAAAGTACGCCACACCACATAAAAATAAAATGTTATCCTTTAAATCAAATATGCTTCCTCTTATTTTTTCCCCTTGTATACTGATGGGAAAAAACAATATATTTAAAAATCTACCTTCCACAAATCATTAAAAGACAAAAAGTGAATCAATATTATTCAGTATTGATAGCAAGATGTTGGCTATGGTGAAGAGGAGCAGATGTGCTCTCTGCACCAAAGTAACAGGAAAAAATATCTTTAAAAAAGTTAAATGATAAAAATTAAAAAGCAGACAACCACCTGCCTACAAATTAAGCAATCATGAAATTATGCCTCTAATTGAATTATAAAAGGCAAAACTTTCAACTTTCATAAGAGAATAAACAGAAGTCCCCAAAAGTGCCTCCCAAAATATGAACAGCAAATGTCTTCCCATCATGGAACAGAAGCATCAGAATATAATCCCCTCAAAGACTATACTAGAATACTGTCTTTCCGATAAGAAAATAAAAACCCCTCTGAGAGTTTCAATAAAAGCTGAAGAGTCTACATCTAAACGGCAATGGCAGCAGAAAAACGTCCCATGTCTTAACACTCTTTCGACCAAGCTTTAAAAAGTTATCCCCACAGAACAAAGCAAGCTACATAAAAGAAATTTAAAGGAAGAAAGGGAGGGAGGAAGAGGATGAGGGAAGAAGGTGCGTGTGGCGGGGGAGGGGGGACGACGACACGACGACGAGCGGAGGGGGGTAAAGAGGGAGAGGGAAGGGAAGGGGAGAAAGAAAAAAGGGGTTCGGAAGGGAGCAAGGGAGGAAAAGGCAGAGGAGGGCGCGCAGCCGGGTGGAAGGGAGGCAGGGAGGGGAACGAAGCGCCCTGGGAACTTTGTGGAGGAGGGCAGAACCATCAGAGCACGGGCAGAGCGACTCGATTCCACACCTACGAACTTTGCAACACTTCACTAGGGCTGCGGCGCGAATCTCTCTCCTCGGGGTTCACAACATTCCTCTGTGCCTCCCCGCGGACCAAGTGGTCGGGTGGGGAGGAGGGTGCAGAGTGCACGGCCGCCCTTGCTCCTCTCGGCGCTCCAATTTTCCAGGAGAGACTTGCAGGGCTCCCTCTCGGTGCTCATCGGGTTCCCCTTCGGGCGGGCGGGGACGATCCCCCGGGACTTCTCACGGCCCGGCCGGGGGGGGGGGGCTGCCCCGTGGGCAAAGCGGAGCTGGAGCAGCCGCCTGAGACCACCGCGGTGGGGCGGGGGGGGGGGGGGGGCGCGTCCGGCCGTCCGTGCCCCTCCCAGACGCCCTGCCCGCGCGGCTTTTGTCAGCGACCCGCAAGAGGCGGGTCGGAGGCACGAGGGGCCGGGACGCGGCGGCGCCCACCTCCCCACTCCGACCCCCCGCACCCACCTTGTATGACGTGCTCGGGCGAGATGGTCTTCTTCTCCGATTTGTTGCAGATCTCGTTGGCCTCGGACGAGATGAGATGGATGAACTCGGTGCAGCAGTTCACCACCAGCTCGCGCGCGTCGTTGGCCACCCGCACGTTCGGGAGCGTCTCTTTGATCATCTTATTGATGGCAGCTCGGGGGATCGTGAGGTCGTCGTCGTTGCCGGACGAGGAAGCCATCGTCCCCTTCCCCACCCCCGGGCGCCCCGACTTCCACCGAATCCCCCCAGCGCCCGCCCGCCGCGCCGCCGAGGTTTCTCCTGAGGCCGCCGGCGGAGAGACCGGGGGGGGTGGGGGGCGGAGGGGGCGCGAGGAGGACGGAGGGGGCGGGGAGGAGCTGGCGGGGATCCCCCCGGCTGAGAGTCGGGGAGGGAAAGGAGAGGGGCTTTGCGCTCCGAGGAGCTCTCGGTCCAGGTCGGGGAGGGGCTAGCAGAAGGGTCCGGAAATTTGAGCACTTTCTTGGGGGTGGAGTAGAAGGGGGCGGCTGCAGTCGCCTTAACCTGCCCCCTAAAGCGCCAGAGCAGAGACAAGGTCCAGGGACACCGGCCTCGCCGCGGGACCAGGCGGACTCCCGGTCGGCTTCGGCTCTACAGCGCCGGAACGCCCGCGACCGCCGCCGCCGCCGCCGCCGCCAGCAGACGCTGCTGCCGCCGCCTCTGCCAAACCATCCTTCAGACACCCGCGCCGCCGCCTCACAACATGTCGGCCGCAGCCGCGGCTGGAACCCGGGCGGCTGCCGGGGAAAACGCACGTGGACGGCGCCAAAGAGCGAGGCGAGCGCGGTGGGGGCGGCCGCTGTGGCGGTTTAGCCCGAACGCAGATCGCGGAAGCCGAAGCGGCGGCAACGGTGGTCCCTCCAGAGGCCAGAAAAAAGGTTTGCGGGAAGTGACTCCCGACACGCTTTGCGCGACCGGAAGCCTCGCCCCCCGCTCTCCCCGCCCTTCCAGACCGACTTCCGGGTGTGGCCGTCGCCCTGCCCTCCCCCACCCGCGTCGGCCGGCGGCCAATCCCCGCCGCCTACAGCTTCCGCCCGCAGCCTGCCCGGCACGCGCTGTGGGATGCGGGGCCGCCTCGGAGCCCGGCGAGCGGCCGTCTCGGGGCTGGAGAGCCAGGCCGCTGCGCTAGTTCGGGGGCGGCGGCCCCAGACTCGGTGGCGTGGCAAGGGCGCAGGGGCGGAGCGGCGGCCCTGGCTCGTCTGGGTCGACCGGCTGATGCCTCGACGTCCTCCCCTGGAGTCGTGAGAATCTGCACAAAGGATCTTTGCCTGCACGGTCTCGCAGCGATGCCTCAGAAAGCCCGAATTGGGAGGGGAAGAAAGGAGAGAGGATGGGACCAGGTGGGGTGGGCCGCCCGGAAGGCGGAAAGTCCTCGAGCCTGGACTGCTCTGGTGGCAGACTCGTCGCTATTCCGAGCAAAGCCCACAGTGTGTGCGCCTCACCCACTTTCTCCGTGCACGGTGAATGAAATCAGAGAGGTAGTCACCTCGCCGTCACAGCTAGTGACTAAGCCATAAACTGGAACCAAGACCCAGCCTGGTGGACACGTGCCTTGGACATGGCGCCCCTTTACCAAGTTCACACGTGGTGATTTTACTTTTGCTTTTTGAGCCACACCTAGGAGTGCTCAGAGCTTACCCCTAGCTCTGCGTTCAGGGATCAATCTTGGCAGTGCTCAGGGGACCGTGTGGTGCAGGGCATCGAACCTGTGCAAGCAACCTGCCATCGCTCCAGGCCAACACGTGGTGATTTTTCGTGGTATACATTGCACGTTGGTTTCTTGAGAGGAGGGGAAAAGTATGTTAAGCAACCAAATTTTACTTTTTCTAGGCGGATTAGTATTATCGGTGTGCACCAAAATCCCCACAAAATTGAGGCAAGGTTATTAATAGTCTGTTGGAATTTCTGTAAGCTAAAGGAGATACTGCTTAAATCAGCTTAGAAGCTCTACTTCATCAGATAACATTGACTTTGGATCACCACTGGCTGCTTTGAAATATTCTCTTTGAATGTTTTATTTTTATCTCAGAAGTTAAATGTATGGTACCTCCAGGAGACCTTAATTATATTGCGTTTTTCATTTATTTTCTTCAGTAGACGTGCCAATTTCCCATTTTCCAAAGTATAGAGTTTTATTTCTCAGTTACTAAACTTAGGCGAAACAATTTCTCTCATAAATCAGTGTTTTAATGTTTCTTCCAAATAGGAACATGAAACTCTTAGCTTAGATCCTGGCTACTTAGGCAGTGTTTTTGTAAGTCAGTTTACTCTTGGCCTAAGGAGTTTATTATCTAGTGTGTGCCCCCATCAGTATAACTCTGAAAAAAAACATGAAAAAGCTAGCTGACAAAAAGTATAACCAGAGATGACACTTGTCACTGACCCAAATCTTTTCATTTATGAAAAATTAAATAACAATGAGACTTTGCATTTTCACATTATTTAGGATATAAGCATTTGCTGGCTTGTGATTCAGAGATTAGTTGAACACATTTGGTTTTCCAGCAATAATTTATTACTTCAGGCATCTGGGGGGAACACCAGTATGGACTACTCAACGAAGTGACAGAAGTTCCACATTTAGTTTTGTTTTGTATTTTTTAATGGCTTTACAGGGGCCACTCTCATGGCCTCATTTTCTTCAACTAGAAATGTAAATAATTTTCAACTCAAAGGATTCAGAAGCCAAATAAGTGGGAGTCAGAGAAGGTATAACAGGTAGTGTGTTTGCCTTGCACACAGCTCGCTGGGGTTTAATCTTTGGCACTTCATGGTCTCTTGAGTCCTACCAGGAATAGGAGTAACCTTGAGCACATAATCAAGAGTAAACCCTGAGCATTTATGGGTGTTGCTCCAAAACACTGTAGCACTGTCCTCCGGTTGTTCATTGATTTGTTCAAGTGGGCAACAGTAATGTCTCCATTGTGAGAATTCTTGTTACTGTTTTTGGCATATGGAATACAGCACGGGGAGCTTGCCAGGCTCTGCTGTGCGGGTGGGATACTTGGTAGCTTGCCGGGCTGTCCAAGAGGGACGAAGGAATCGAACCCAGGTCAGCCATGTGCAAGGCAAATGCCCTACCTGCTGTGCTATCACTCCAGCCCCGAGTCTCAACTAGCCACACTAATAGAGTGTGGGGCTGAGACTTTGTAAATGTACTTACAGACAGACTTTGAGGGGCTCCCAAGCTGGGAGTGATAATTTTTCTTTGGGGGTGGATCGGAGGAAGGGGCCTCCATCCCAGGAAATGATCAGGGCACCCAGGGGTCGCTCCCAGCCAACAGCCTGTGTACTGGGTTGGTGGCTTAGTTCCGGGGAATTCCATCGTCACCCCAGCAGTACTTCTGAGGTGTCAAGAGCTACACCTAGGAGTGCTTGCTTGGGCGAGGGGCATGTGTGCTGGGTTCAGATTTGGGTCCTGATAACCTGCAGAGCACTGGAATCCTGAGCTATCTTCTTGGCCTCTGTTATCTTCAAATCTGTATTTTGGCTTTGGACTATGTTTCCATTGGGGTATTAGTATGCCTGGCAACTTTCTGTGGAAATCCATCACTGCACTCATTCAGGAATACCGTCCATTTTTAGTATAAATGGCACATCCTTAGAGCCACAAACCATGGAGTTGTGAAATTCTGGTTCCAAAACAAACAAACAAATCCAAAAACAACTAAGTATTTTACAAAAGTCTGAGTAAAAGCACTATTAGCACTATGAATACTATAAAGTGCTTAGTGTTTATTACCATTTTTATCATGTCTGGGCAGTCTTCAAATAATAATATGCAATACATAATCTGAGAAATAATGGAGAATATGAAAACATCTAGACCCTATATTTAAATGATGACATAGCACAATATTATTCTATAAATAGACTTCTGGGAAAAAATATGTTTTGGTTTTGATTTTAGTTAATACCCTAGCAGTGGTTTGTCTTGTATGTGGTGGACCCTGATTTTATTCCCTGACACCAGATGATCCCCTGAGCATCACCAAGAGAGGCCCTGAGTACCACCGAGTGTATGTTCTCCTCCCAAAATAAAAGTGCATATAATAATCTTTATTTTTTTAATACCAATTGCTAGTTGGTATAAAAGCAAATTTTAAAAATAACATCTATTATGTACTACCTTTGTGTTTATTGTGTTAGTACTGTTGCCTCTATTTTACTACAGTGTTTTTTTGCTATATTCTCAATGACCAGAAAGAACAATCTTATTTAATAGGTGCCTTTTTAATCTCCATTAAAGATTGGGGAAGTAAACCTTGGGAAAGCTAAATACCTAACTATAAAGCTGAATAACTTCCATGAAGTAAGTCTACCATCAGGATACCCATATCTACCCTAGTCTAACATCAAGATACATTGTAAAAACAAAACAATCCAGGGACTTGGAGTTGCTAAAGCACCTGCCTTGTCATCTGAGACTGAATGGAAAAGCACTCTTTGACACCATAACCACTTCACCTGCAGGCAGCAGGATCCTGACAGCTCTCCTGCAATTCTGCTGTCTGTGATCCCTGACAAAGCAAGTGATTTCTAGATCAGATGCATCCAGAAAGAAGGGTATAACTTCTGGGGAGCACCATGGCCAGGGGATTTCACACGAACTGAAGGAGGGCAACCCTGCCATCAAGCGCTGTTGCTGAGTGTCTGAGCAGATCCACCTGATGTGTAAACTCCAGGGAGCACCACTCCAAAAAATATGCAAGCACCACAACCAAGTATACACATGACCCAGTTCTCAACACCTTCAATAGCGGGGTGGAAGAGGGTCAAAAGAAAGTAAGAATAACCTGCCTGGCTTGCTCTTCAAGGCCATGTTCTCCTTTGAACATATATCTCACTTGTTTGTCTGTATGTTTCACGGATTGTTTCTAGTCCAGAGATGCCCATGTTCTCTTTTGAACATATACTGCTCTCTCCCCTCACATACCTATAAATAAGTCTCAATTTTTAAAAAACTCTTGCAAAAAAAAAAAAAGAACCTGCAGGTATCAGAAAGTTTATTTTGTGGCCTCTATGTTTAACCCTATGATTAAACATATTTTGACAGAGGTCAACAAGAGGAATAAACACAGTAATCACTCAAGAATTCACTGGTGCTACTGAGAAGAAATCATAAAGAAACCCTGAAATACAGTCTCTTGATGGTTTAAAAAAAAAAAAAGGAGAGTATTTGTTTGTACAGTTCAAAGAAACTGTAAAATTCTGAATTGGAAATTGTCAACAGGACCAGTTAGGTATTTCTTGAGAGCAACTGTCTGTTTGCACATAGTAAGAGAGAAGTGAGAAAGCCCAATGTGTAGCAACAGAAGTCTTGCGGTAATAGAAACTGAGAGCTAGAGAAAGGGAGAGGGAAGATAAAAGAGTCATTTCTAACTGGGACATTATAAGGTGGAAGCTTCAGGGCCTCAGCTAGAGTGTTGGAGTGTATTCTGCTTTTGAAAGACATGAGTGCTTGGTTAAAGTTTCCTGTGCTGCATTACTTCCTGCTTAATAAAATGCTAAAAATGCTATTT